AGCAACACATTCTGATGCCACCCAAATGATCCTGTGTGGCAACCAAACACTGCATTAAGAAAAACAAAAAATGMCAGGAATTCTGTCATTGCCCCGTTATATTCCGAAATCAACCTGTAGTCACTGTTTTATGTTGATCCTTTTAATGGAATATTCTGACTTATCAAACTACACAAACACTCTTCTCAGGCCAATTCCCACTTGGAAGCGCAGGCACATCCCCCACAACACCAGGCTTAGCACAGAGGGCAGCGTGCCAAGGGTGAAACAYGTCTAAGGTGTCTTCACCCCTCTGCTTCATCGTGGGAGTTTATGTGATACTGCACCAGGATTTCCTAACAGAAAGAAACTGTTTGTGTCAAAGCAAGTGGGATACTTTTTTAAGCTACTCAAAGGATCATGTCTTGACTTGCCCCAAGTGCACCACACCTGCCCACTGCCAGGCAGGGCAGAGCACGGCTTTGCACTCTCTGGTCTCTATGAACACCTTTCCTGGCTCCTTGAGGGACAAGGAGCCTGTGTGCACCACAGCAGATAAGTCYACAATAAACACAGACTGTGAGAAGTAAGTTGCAGTCAATTATCAGTCAGCCAATAATTCTCCCTTTCTTACTTACCCTTTCCTCACTCCCCCAAGGCCTCACCTAGCTGACTTCAGGGAAAGTTAGAAGGAATCAAAACATGTCAGTGGGCACTTTCTCAGCCCACGTGGATCTCATTCCCTTCTCTGACAAAGAGGAAAGAMCCAGAGAGCAGAAATGGGCCAGGTGAGAGACATCAGAACACAGAAATAGCACAAACACCAGGTACCCTCAACTTACAAGCACCAGGTGCACCAGGCAATAAACCTGAATTCCCTTTACCACCTGCAACAGGCACTTCCAGTCTCCACTAGCCACAAGCAGCAAGAAGCTGATCCTGCTGCTAACCCCTGGCAAYCTGCTACCATCAATTCCAGTGCCACCTTGAAGCTGTGGGAAGAGAAAAAAATAAACTCTCAAACTTCTTGCCCATTTGGCAYAAAACCACAGTTTCCTACCCAAGCCCTAAAATGGGAGAAGTTTAAGTGGTAACAGGATAGCAAACTCTCCTCTGTGCCATACATTAGGAAAGGGAAAGGCACAAYAACCACCACAAGCAAAGTGGGTTTGAACAATCCAAGCAAGTTAAGAAAAGGAGGTGAGAACAGAGTCAGACTGGAGTCTGTGGAGCACTGCTGCTACAAACAGCCCCTTCTGCACCTCTCCAGTCACGCCAGTACCCAACTGGGAGGGTCACACTGTGAGCTGGGTGACGAAAACAGATCTAGACTCAGGGTTTGTTTTTTGTTTGTTTTTTTTTTTTTAATTTTTGAGACCAGAGCAGTTCCCCTGTTCACTTTATCCCATGGAGCTGTGTTACACCACTGCAGAAGTAACACAGGGGAAGGAGCAAGCAAAAGGGCCTGCGCCAGCCACACTGCAGGTGACTGTCTCAGATTTAATTCCTCCTGTTTATCTAGGAGAAGTTCTAAGGAGAAGGAGAAATGCTGTGACCATTCCCATTTCCACACTGCCTACTTCTGCAGTCGCAGTAACCCAGAGCCTCACACTGAGCTCTCACACTTCCTGGTGGCCACATACCCTCCTACACTGTTCAGTGGGTTATTCCAATCCAAACTTGGAGTAAAATGGTGAAAGTATAAGAAATACATATGTGGAAAAAGCAATAAGAAAGATGCTTAGAACAGGAGTTACAATTTCTTTTTTTTTAAAAAAGGGAAAAAAGAAGAAAAAAGGTCTGTGATGGCCCTGCAGGAGCTCACTTTACCCAGTGCCTTCAGCATSCAGCTCTCCTCTGCAGGTACAGAACAACAGAAAGCCATTCTCCATATTTCATCATGGTACAAGACATAGCTCAAAGCAATGCTTCAGATTTCCCCAGTTCAGCAGGACAATCTTGCCCTGGAGCAAGCTCCATCACCCATGSTGAGCCACACCTGCCTGTTCCCCCTCCCAAAGCAGGCAGCACTTGGGGAAGGCACAGCCACCAGCCCTCCTGCCCCCACGGCTGTGCCCGTGCCCTGCTGCACGGAGCCAGAGCCCAGTGCCAACARAACTGTGCAGGGACTGATTCCTTACAGCAGCACAGGCAAATCAACCTGCATCCTGCACAGCCCCACAGCTCTGATAGCCAGCAACCACTTAATCACTGTAATTGTATAACACAGTACAAGTATGTTTTCCTTTTTATTTTTTGTTTAGGTTTTAAACAAAACAGTTCAGCTCCTTACTGTGCACCTGCCACTTCACAGACAGCAACTTCCACACCCAAGGGGGCAGGAATCAAATTACCTGCATTTCCAAGTCATTAAATTCTGTTTCACTTTCCTCACAGGTAAGCTTAAAAAGAGAGGCTGCATGTAGCGACTGGGAGAGAAAATAAGCTCAGTCAAMTAGTGCTTTTATAATGATATGCTTGAACTGCAGCTTCAGTGTGTGCATCTCAAAACGAGTAACACTGTCCTGCAAAAGAAGTGAAGTTTCATCTACGTTGCCAAGAATTTTCTTGTTGTGGTCCTGTAGTTCAAATAGATTAAGCAAGGTTTTAGAAACCAGTTTAACTAGACTTTAACAAACCATTAAGCAGATGTGAACAAGTGTATCTTGAAATATGGATAGGGAAAAAAAACTGGCATGGAAAAACACAAGCTCTTTAGACACTAAAGAGCTCTGTTAGAGCTCTTTATGACTCTAACAGAAAGTACTGTTAGAAATACTCTTGGGCATATATTTCCAATAGGTCTTCTCTTTTTTTCTTTTAGATTTTGCTTAAAGAAGTGGCAAGGTTGGGAAGGAGAAGGACTGTTCTGTGATCTACATCAATCTAAGTTTGCAACTTCAGTATTCTGCCATTTCATTATTGAACAGAACATTCAGAAGAAAACAGGGAAGAATCAGCTGACAGTGACTATGGAGAGAGGGATTTATTTTAAAGCACTGTCAAATTATTTTTTTTTTAAATCTGAATTTATGCAGTTTAAAGTGATTTTTCACTGGTCCAAAGTGAAATATTTATGTTCTTTGACTGCTGAAAACACAGAAAATAATATCTTTCAATTACATAATGATACAAGAAAAGGGAAAAAGAATCCCCTGCAAAAATTTGTAACTGCTGTTAATCTGTAACTGCTGTTAAGGGGATGTAGGGCAGGACCCAGTTTATGTATTTTGGTCCCTGAGTGGGTCCCATGTCCCTCCAGCAGTTGAACACTAAGTGCAGGACAACTCCCCTTGCACAATTCCCAGCACTAAGCAAAGCCAGCAGTTCAGGACTGCAATCACTCATTTCAGTTTTGGAAGGTGTTTACTACTTTTCTCTAGTAGTGTGTATTCTTATCCAGGCAGATGATTTTGCTGTGTAATTCAGCTTACAATGGATATTATGCACTTTGTTTCAAGATGCTGAGTTCTGCACTTTTTTAAAGGGTAGCAACAATTTGCTTGTGGCTAGAAGTATGACTCTTCTTTAAGTAAAACAGTGACACACCTAAGGCTAGATTTAAAAAAAAGCTGTATGTAATTATCGGCTTGCTGACACAATAGGTGAAACTGTGTGTCATACTTTATTTGAATTTTTTTCACCATTTCTCTTTGGAGTGGCAATTCTACCTTCAAGATCTGTTTTAGAATAGGAATGGACACTGTAACAACACAGATTTTWAAGTAAAGGCTTATGTAGCATTAATACTTGCTGAAATGTCATGCAGGCTTGTCAGAAAAGTAGGATAGTAAAAACCACAACACCTTACAGCTGTTCATAAGCAATTTTCAGCTTCCCCCTGGCTGTCCTCCCTGTGCTCTTYTCCACCCCACCAATTTATTGCCAACAACTGAAGCTGTCATAGGTGGCACAACCACAGCATTCATTGGTATTACTACCACAGGCAGAGKGATTTCAGTTATTGTCACCTGACACTTCCCTGAAAAGTGAAGAATTCATTTCCAGAAGAAGCTGGAAGCGAAAGGACACGAGCTTCTTCAGAAACACAGCYTCMTGTTGTAAACACCTGCTCCAGAGATCCCACCAACAGCTTTGTGACAGTAAAATGAAATACCAGAAACCCTGAAAAATCACAAGGGTAAGCCTGTATCAAGCCTATGGAAAACAACACTGCAGCACGGTAGGGTGAAAGGAGTAAACAAAATACATTGCTCAAAGCATCCTGAGCAGAAGCTCTGATAACAGATCAGAATTCTGATACACTGAACACTCACAAGTGGGCTTTCTGAATTTTCACAAGCAACAAGCTTGCCCGACCTTAAAAGAAATCTTAAAAGTTCTTCAACTCACAGGATGAAGCAGAGGTTTTATTTTCATCAGGCTGCTGACCAAATCTAGAAAAAACACCAGATTTGAACCAGACTTCAGGATGAGTATGGCCATACCAATGCTAAAGGTTTGCTTGCAGTGAGAATATAAATGTGACTCTGCAGAGCTGTTACCAGCCTGCCAGAGCCATTTGTCACCAGTCCATTCATGGGTGTCAGCATGCCCTCACTGCTACCATTACTGCTGGTTAGATAAAAAACAGGAATACAAGACTATACTCACGGGATTATTTCACTGTGCAAATACATCCTTAGGTACCCTCACTTAAGAATTTCATATTACCAATAATATACCATGAACTCAGCTAGAAGTGAATTAAATATGACCCTTCAAAATAAAATATCTTATTAATAACTTATTGCAGCAAATGTCACTGTTGCTAGCATGCCAAAGTGAAGCAGGATTATTTTGGAGCTCCACACTTGCATTCCAAAAGTTATCCTTAAACAGTGGATGGCATCACATCCTAGCACAGCTTATTACCAGACTTCTCTCTTTTACTATCAATGCCACTGTAGATGAAACATCAACAAAACACCATGAAACAGCTTTATGAGAGAAACAGATCTAAAACGTCTCAGAATTACTTGTCTGCTCACTATGAAAAAACTGGCAGAAAAATGGTGCTTGGCCTTAAGAAGTCTGACAGCAGGTTTTTAGACAGGAAGGTTTTATCAAGGTCTCCAAAAATGCCAGGAGCAAGTACCACAGGACAGAGAGCGGTTGGGTGACTCTGCGTTGAAGGACCAGCACTGAAAAGTGAAATTACAGGAGTGAAAAACAGCAGAGACCAGCCAGGACACTAGGGTCAATAAATAAAAATGGATTCATTTACAGATTGTCTCAAAGAACTTCAAAAACTGTTTTTAAAGGAGGAAGAAACAGTCAGATATTCTTTGGCAACCTGCTGAACTCAGTATTAGCAAACTGGGCTTTCTGGATGACAGTGAAATAGTTCTGTCAGCAATCTAGA